CAGCAGTATTTCCAGGCATCTGCAGTGATCTGGGAAGGGATACTGCTGAATAAATGCCAGGGGTTTTTACCTTCTCTTGAATGGTGCCAGCCCACAGAACCAACCTGCAGGCAAGGATGTGTGTTTTGCTCACCCATTTTGCCTGTGGTCTGATTCTGATAACCCTGGACTTTTCTAACAAGCACTGCTGGTGTTCAGAGGAGATGGGACTCAGGCAGGGGAGAACACCTTGCAGATATATACCTCCAGCTCTATGACTTTCTCCAAGTAGAGAATCTTTGCCGAATGATTCCACCCATATTCCAGGGGGAATACATGGAGTAGTACAGAGACAAGCCACTTGCAGACACTAATATTTCAAGGGTATTACTTAATCCTGCTTGGAAGGGCTTGTATCAAAGCGAGGATCAGAGCAGTACAGGGGAATTTTTGCTGGTGCTTTCATTAGAGGGAGCAACAGTGAGGTGTTTCTGGAGAAGGGTTTGCTGCAGTCAAGGCCATAAAGAGATGCTGAAGAAGGTTTCATCTGAAAGATAGTATAGATCATTATGATATTTAGTAATGCCACTTACAGGGGCTAACTTGAACAGCCTTGGAAGGAAGAATGAAAAAATCCTTCCTAATATGTTTGTGCCAGCAAACACATTAGGATCTCCTGGAAGAAGTTTTTCCATCCTATTGAAAAGCTTTGTTAGAAAGAATGATGAGAAGGGTAATAATAAGGCACTATAATTATACCTGATCCTTCTATAATCTTTCTCTCTGCAGAGTTCAGGAGCACTTTACTGCTATTATTGGATTTGAACAGTCCCATCTGGATAACATACGACTGATTTGTTTGCATGGCTTATTTTAGGTATCTCAGCACGTACATTAGACTTGCCTTCATATCTGGTTGATTCCCTGCACAGTCTGGAAGAGCAGGAAAAGATCTTGAGCTCATGTTCTCCACCACCCCATTCTCGCATCCCAATGCCTAGGAGAGCTCCTTACAGAAGACCAAGGATAAAAGGAACCATCAGTCCTTCCTAACTCAGTACTGCAGAAGGTACAACTGCAGAACTGAAGCACTTAGAACATGGAGGCTGGATACTACTAGGAACACCTGGATTTGCACCTGTATTATTCTAGGCTTGAGATTCCATGGATTCCAAAACAACTCAAGATGCACTGAAAGTCTGGCAGCAAGAACCTGGCAAACACCTCATGCTCTGTGATCAGCATAGCTGCTACCTGAACCTTTTAAACAAAGGGATTAACTGCATGCCTCCAGCACACACAGCAACAGGGAAAGCATGAGGGTGCTCACATCTTTCTGGATTTAGCATTCCTTGCAACACCATCTCAGTTACAGAGACGCTGCTGCACTCTGGCTGCAACTGCCATTCACCATGTCCTTAAATGAGTGACCATCAGTGCCACAAACCTTGTTGTCCCCTTGCAGGAGCTCTTGAGTGTGAAGCTGGGCACTTGCTGCTTCACTCTGCCAGGGCCAGGAGAAATGATACATAATTGAAAATAATCAGCCCATACTTAAAAACCCTACATAGAAATGAGATTAAGAAAAAATAATTAAAAGCACAATACAAAAGCTATGGTTTACGTGACTTAGACAGTTTTCAGTCTGAAAATCACAACAATTTGTCGCTAGTTTGCAGTTTGAGGAGGGAACGTCCCTTTCAGACTGAACCACTGTAAAACAAGCACAAGTTGCCTGATCCTTTTGTTCCTCTCACTGCTTTTTAGGGATTTTTTTTTGTCCAGTGAACTGAAGAAGGGTTTTCTCCTGCATCCCTTACATATCCCACCTGGCTTCATTCACAAGGACAGATGAGGTTTCTAATGTCTGCCCATCCCTGAGGCTGTGGGACATCTTGTTGAAGAGTTTAAGAGGCCCCATTAGCCCTGTCTAGTTTTCCCCTACTTAATTTTGGTGTATTATATCCAGTCTCCTCACTTTCATTCTCCTACATCCTTCAGAGCCGTCTCTGTCAATTTGTTTACTTCTAGTTTATTTTTAAAAGACAAACCCCCAATGGACATAAGCTCTCAAGTCCCTTTTGAAAATGCTGTCTTCTCTGTAAGTGCTTTGTTTGTGATCCTCTCCAATCCTTTAGGCTATTGTTTACAAGCTGGAAGGCATCTGCACTTGGGCTAATCATGCCGAATGCCAGCAATTCCCCCAGCATGATTTGTTGCACAAACCAGTGGGAGCAGGGTTTGTTTTGATTATGTTTAGTGTGGAAAACCCACATTTTGCTCACATCAGCCTGCCAAAACAGGGAGGCCTAATCCAAAATCTTCAGAGAGGAACAATAATCTGGTCATTGATTTCAGTGGCATCTGGGACCAGCTCAAAGATTGAGAGCTCTGGTGGCAAGGGTGGTGTCTTGGGAAAGGACGTAGCTCAGGAGGCAAAAATATTTAAGTGCATGCAAGGCATTTGTTCTGGGATGGATGAACCTAGCAGCCTGCCTAGTGCTTTGCTTCTCAAAGCTCTGCAGCTCCTTTCTGACATGCAGTTAGTCAGGCTGGGAGCCCCCAGCTCTGCCCCCACCAGCCGTCACCTCGGGCTGATGCTGGCGTCCCCCAGTGCCCCCAGCTGATAATTCAGGCTCCTTCACTCATTCTGAGTGATGGTGATGTTTTTATCCTCAGCCTGTGCTGATGCTTGCCTCCAGGCATCAGATGGGTGTCCCAATTTTTCTGCTTGTGAAAGCTGGGAAGAAGCGCCCGAGGGCTGCTCCCTTTGGGGCTGCCATCAAACTCTGGGACACGCAACTGCACTGCAGGGAGGGTGAACAGGTCTGCCAGGTGCAGAACCCTGTGTCTCAAGAGGCCCAGCACAGTTCTGGGAGCTCAGCACAGCTGTCCCTCACCAAGCCACTGGCTCAGCTAGCCTGGGCTGCCCCCTGTGCTGCTGAGCCTCAGGCTGAGCCTAGGCTGACTTGTTCCCACACTCCTGCCATAGCAGAGGTCTGCTCCACAAGGCACAGAACTCAAAAGCTCCACCTGTATCCTGCCTCTCCCCTATTTTCCAACTCTGCTTTTCCTCCTCCAGAGGTGCTCCATCAATCACCATTAATCCCTTTTTGTACCCACACAGAGGTTAGCCTTGCAGGTGGCCTGTGGCAGGGATTTCCAGAGCTTAAGCTACTATACGTCACATGAAGAAATGTCTCCTTTTGAGTCTTGAAGTATTTCATCAGACGCCTCCCTGGATTTTTAAGAAAACACATGGTCACCTACTCCATAGCATTCAGGCTTTACAGATCTCTGCCACAGACCTCAGCCATCTCTTTTCTGGCTGAAGAGTCCTACTATTGAGCCAGCCCTTGCATAGGAAACGTTTGGAAGTACTTTGCTTTGCCTGAATCAAAACCTCAGCTCCGCCAGCCCCAGCTGAGATCAGAAGGCAGCAGGAGCCTGCCAAGACCCAGGCAGCTCTGCAGGGAGGCATCAGGAGTTTCAGAGCGACTCTGCCACATCTCCCTCTCCCTCTGACACCTGCCTTCTCTCTGAAGGCTGCCCCCAGCAGCCTGGCCTTTGCACCAGGGAATGGCACAGGGCAGGCAGAAAGCTCCAGTGCGTGCAGTTTTAGCTGTACAGATGCCAAACATCTGAGGAACTGGGGCAAAACGAACTCCATCAGACAAACCCATCACATTTCCCTAGCCAAGGTGTGTTGTAAATTAAGGGGTATTGCACACTTAAAGATTAATGACACATAAGACTAAATACACATTTTTAGAGGGACATCAGGGTAAGGGTCAAAACTGAGACCTTACACACAATCCGGTGTGTACACAGACTTGATTTTGAAGCTTGACTACCTAAGAAATCACTGAGGATGACCAAATGTTAATACATTTTTAAAGTGTTTTTGCACAAACTTGTGTCTTTTTGTGAATTTTTGTGAATCCTGATCCTTAACAACATACAGACCTTTATGTCAGAGGTAATCAAGTATTATTACAAGAGCTGATGGCTGTGGGGCCCCTCCTGAGCACACACATGGGTGCATATGGAAGTTATTAGCAAGTTCCAGTGAAGAATTTTGGGAAATTAACCCTTGGGGCCCCAGAGCACTACCAACAGATGGCTATCTGGGAGCAGACAAAGAGCAGTTTCCTGCTGGATGCCTGCAGCATATTGGGACTGAGATCCAGGCCCTTCACAGCACGGTAGAGGAAGCCCCTCTCGCAAGCACTAAACTTTTCAACTTCTGCTGTTAGGAAGAACACTTGAAAAAAACCATCTGCAAAGCCTGTGTAAGTTTCCTCGACAAAGTGAAATGAGTCAGCTGGAGAAATGTATAACATAACATATAAAAATGCAAACAATTTTCCTCTATTCCCCAAATGGTGCTCAAGAGGTTGTGAGGAAGTTTGCAATTTCTTTTTAAGTCCCCTTAGGAGCCACCAAAAGAAACATTTGGATACAGACCACCAGGAGCTACTCCTACGTGACAGAGGGACCCATTCAGAGGCAGGGTCATTAAAGTGAACATCTCCCACTCTAATGAAAGCAGCAGGATAGTGTTACCCCATGGAAGTAAATTCTTACCCTTTTGCTTGTACATCTTTTTCTCAAGAGCTGAAAGAAAAAGGTTTCTCTTCCAACATCCAAGCAGAGAATGAAGGATTCTAATGCTTGCCTCAGCCAATGCACTTTTCACTTTCCTGTTCTTTCTACATTGATTTCCTTTCTTGCACCAATCCTGATCTGCAGAGTGACCTCTCCTTGGGAATAATGAGGATACTCACACATGATGTGCTTTCAACTTTCACAATATAACAATTCTTGGCAGTAATTCACTGCTTTTCATCCGCAGATCTCAAATCAATTCGCTGCAGCCCTGCATGGAATTGACTTACTTGTGAGACTGAGACAAGTGCTTGCTGCGCAATTAAACAAAAAAAAAAAAAAAAAAAAAAAAAAAAAGAGGAACAAAATAAAGTAGACTTTATTAAAATACAAACTATTTCCTTCTCCCATGGTGTGATTTTCCTGAAGTGCAATCCAGGCTGCAAATAGGGCTTCTCTGCAGCCCCCAGCTGCACAACCCAAGATGCTCATTTGCGGCCAAATGAGAGCAGTTCACAGCCAGGTCACAGCAATACCGTCAGAAAGCTCTTCCCTCAGCGAGGTATTACCGTGGCCAGAAAACAGAAGCATTCCTGTGCTCAGTTCTAAACATGGAAGAAATTATACTGCTCCTCCACCCCCCTACTTTCTGAAGGGAGGCAGGAAGGGAGCCAAGGCACCTCAGCAGACACCTTCAAGAAAGCAAAGGATCGAGGGGTGGACATGATGCCTGGGCCAGCAGATCCAGTCCCACTCCTCCATGGCAGAGAGGGAGAGAGGGAGAGCAGCTGTGTGCCTGTGTGCCTGAGGCAGGGCCTTCACCCAAGAGCCCAGGAACGGTCCCAGAGGTGCCCAGAGCCACCTGAGATGCTGGCAGCAAGCAGCACTATGCCCACCCCAGGGCACACACCCTGCAGAAATGAACAATCCCAGCTCCTGCTTTTGCACTGGGCTGAGACACAGTAACTGCAGGGGCACCGAGCTGCCTCTGGCCTCCCTGCAGCTGGAAGGAGCATGCAGCAAGGACAAGATCACCACTTCCCTGACACTTATCTAACTACCTTGGCTGATAAGCCAATGCCCTGACACAGGCAGCCAGGCACCTCTCTGCCAGCAGGGCAACAAAGCCCTCCAGAGAATAATTCAGAGTGTCTAAGTTAGGCTCCTGTGATGAATCACAGCCTGTATCTCCCTCTGTGCTGACCACACACTTTAGTTCCTCAGATAAAACAGCTGAAGACAATAGAGCAAATTCAGTGTGCTCTCTTTCCCTGTTCAGCTTTTTTCTTCCGTACAGGTCTGAAGAGGAAAGTCAGCATGAGCAAAGCAGGCTGTCTGCCCAGCTATGGATGCTTAGCAGCCTATAAAACAGTTTGGCTCAAATTTTAGAGTATCTGAATTTCTTCTTTCATGTAGCTGTTTTCAATCACTTATTTTGAAGACATCATACTGACTATCCCTGAAATGAACCATGACCCTATTTAAGCCAACTGTGTTCCTCCCATTTGTACTCATACTCACCAGTTCAAGTTCACTGATGCTGTGCCCTGTTCTAAGATCTTGAATTACTCTTTTTTTTTCAAACACTCAGTACAAATTTTGAGGTACTAAAAAAAACTTTCTAAAAATGTAGGGCTGAGATTTTCAGAAGTTTCTCTGTTTAGACAATTCTTTACTACATTACACTACAAGATGAATTTAAGTTTAATGTTCCCAGCTAGGACCACTCATTTATGTTCTGCTTGTGTTCTTTATGAGAAATTCACTTAATTCACTTTGATTTCCAAGCCTGGGCACTAAACTAACTGGGCTTCTAACATTAGAAGGGAGTGAAGTTATCACCAAGTATTCACTGACTTTTAAAAATCAATATAAAAATTTTATTAAAATTTTAGAAGTTTTATATAAAAAATTCCTTGCCTTTCAGAGGCAAAACCAAAACATCTTCTGATGCTCGACAGATGGCAGCAGCACACTATCACATGAGCTTAAGAAAGGGTGCAGGATCCCATCTCTTCACACCCTCCCAGGGCAGATATAACTCTCCAGACCAGGGTTATCTCTGCCATGCCCTTAAGTACAGCATAACCCATCTTCACTCTCCAAAAATCCAATTGAATAAAGCAATGCAAAAGCCAGTGAAGCTGCATGTATCATACATGGCTGCAATGGTCTCACTTGGTGCAAACACCGGCCTCTGAAGTAACAGGCATCACATTCGTACTGCAGGGAGTGAAACATGCTCTTGCTCCACCACAGCTTCGTGAGTCAGCACAAGGGTCATGCCCATCGATGTCCAAGCTGCACTGCTGTGGGACTGGACTCAGCTGCACTCCACCAGGGCAGATTTGAGGCAGGAATGAGCTCAAGCACTTTGGGGTAGAAGAGAACACAGGGTGGACCTGGGAAGATGGGCAGCTCACCTTTTTTTCTGAAGCTTTTAAGTTATAAATGGAGCAAAGAGCAGGACTTGGTGGCAGTGGCAATGTCTGCTCTTTAGGTCTGGCTTTACCCCAGGCACATCTGGGAAAGTCACACTCACTGTGTATGTACGAGGACACATCTGTCACAGCCACTGGGTTCAAGCTCTGCTCCCTCTGCCCTCCCCCTTCCTCTCCCAGCAGCCAGTCCAGCATCACTGGTGTGGCACACATCCCACCAGCACAGCCATAAAAGAGGCATCTCCTTTCATCTCCCATATGTATCCATCATCTCCTAGCCCAGGACAGAGAGGGGCTGGGGCCAGCGCTCCCCTCTGACCCTCCCCTTCTGTCCAGGGGTGAGAACACCTCTTCCCTCAGACACATTCCCAAGGAGCCCCCCAGCCCTGCTCTGTCCTCTGTCGCGGCACCAGCAGGGAGGCTCCGGCAGCACAATTCCCGCAGCGTGGGCACTGCCCGGCGGCTCCGGCACAGGGGCTCAGAGAACACCAGGGGAGTTCCCCCCATCTCATCAAAGTGCAAGGGGTTGTTCCGGGTCCCTGCCACCACCAGCTCCAGCAGCCGGACCACGCAGTCTGAAAACCAGTTCTTGAGGCGGAAATAGCCCTCCTGGAAAGAGATCCGAAGGCTGACGGGCCCCGTGGGCATCCGCACGCTCAGGCTGAACAAGCAGTTCCCCTGCGAGCTGTCCCGCACCAAGTAGGTGCCTACAGGCTCCCGCTGGAGCTTGGCGTGGGCCTCCCCCACGGACAAGGGGCCCCAGTAGAAGTCACTGGCCTGGAGGATATTGAGGGATCGCTCCAGGACTTCCCACTCGCAGCTACGAAACATCCGGAAACGATCGGGCAAGCCGGGCGGCGCGGGGCTGGGGAGAACGCTCCGATGCTGCCTTTGCAGAGGAGAAGCAGTGCTCTGTGTGTTGTGCAGGTCATCTGGCCTCCCTCTGATCATCTCTCAAAGAGCCCATGAATCCCAGAGAGATGCTGCCTTTACCATGCTTCTTCCTTTGCATCCAGCCTGCGGGACAGAAGGAGAGTGAGGCAAACCCAATACCTTCTTCAACCTGGGCAAGACACTTCCCGTGGGAGAAAGACCAGCACGAATACCAAAGAGGGTACCAAGGAGCTATTGCATGTCACCAGCCCCCAGCTGTGGGGAAAACCAAGGATGACAGGGCTCCAGCTGGGTCCCCACCAGCACAAGGTGGCACCTCACAGAGCTCTGCATCCATTGGGTTTCTGTGATTCACAGCCAAGGGCTCCTACACACCCTCCAGCAGGTTAGTTTGAACCCAGCAGATCTCAACATTTCAAGATTTCCCTCTGATAGACATTCGGGACTCTTCAGAGTAGCCTTGAGATTGGAAAGGTGAAATGACACCACAAAAGAAAAGGGAAAGATTTCCTAAAGGAGGAAACTATCATTTACTTTGTCCTTCAGTGAATGGTAGAAAGGTTTCCTCACACTTCAACCCTTTCTCTGGCAAAAAGATTGACAATAGGACTTAGCAGAAGCAGAAGACAGGTATGAGCCTTTCTCCCCCAAATCCCAGGAACCACTCCCTTGTCCCAAGACATGCCTGTTTCACTATGTCAGGAGAAAGCAAAGGTCTCAGATCAAGACTACTCAAGAAATGTTACATCAGCTTCAAGGCTGAAACTACCTTGAATGAGCTCACTTAACACTGGTACCAGGCACTGCTGATGCCCTTCCAGACTCTTAACTTCTGTTTCTTCTAGAAGGACAACTCCCCCTGCCTGCAGACAATGCTGCCCTCTCCCAGTCACCATCCTCTAATGTACTGTCGTGACCCTGCTCATCTCCTGCACCTTGTGTTATCACCAGGCTGTTTTGCATTTCTGAACCCAGCGTTGCCATCAGCCATGCAAGTCACTTCAATTATATTTTTAAAAATATATATTCTAAATGTGTGTATCTGTATAGGCACAAATAAAAAACCCACAGCCCTAAGCCAGAGGCTCATTCTGTGTGAGAAGCTGAGCTGTAACATACCACTTCCCCAGGCCTGACAAGTCAGTAGCTCGCTGCCAAATGCTGCCCTCGCTCCCTTGACATACTCCATTAACCCAGTCATACTCACTCACAGCACAGCCATGCTTGGAGCAGAACAGAGTGCTGGCACAGCCTGCAGCAGAGGAAGAGACACACTTCATCTCCAGCAGCTCCCTCCCCCACCACAGACCTGCCAGAGCACTGGGGCTCAGGGCTCGTATCAGGCAGGCAGGCAGGCAGCCCCCCAGGGAATGTGCAGGGACCTGTGCTGGGCCTGCTCTGCAGGGAGAGCTTCAAGTTAAGCTTAGCTCCTTGCAAGGTTCCCCCCAAGCTGTCTCACACCCTTTGCCAGCTATTCAAAAGCCTCACATTCCTTTTGGTGCTGTGCTAGCTGGGTGGGGACCCTAGGAGAGGACACACATCTTTCCTTCACAGGGGCACAGTCGTTAGGCAGAGCAGGCATATGCCTGGCAGTGCCTTACCAGACATCTTTTCTAGTCTAACATCTCTCTCAATACTTAACAGTAATACGAATAATGTAGCTGCCAGGCACGTTTCATATATGGAGCCCTAAGCATCCTTTCCAAGAGCAGCCGGGGAAGCTTATCCAGCTTATAGCCCTGTGATTTTCAGTCCACAAGCTGCTAATGTCCCTGGTACTGTTCTGAGTGCTGTTGATCCTGCCCTCTACACAATTTCATAGGAGGGAAATTCCATGCTTAGAGAAAGGTGGGAGGGGTGGGAAGGAGTTAATCAAGTTGGGTTTTTCTTTTCCATTTAAAAAGAAAGAAAGAAAGAAAGAAAAAAAACCCAGCAGTTGAAAGCTGCTCAGACTATTCAGCAAGTCAGAATAAATCTTAGGTGAAGGTGATTTAGTGAGCAGGATGCAAACACACACAATCACCACTACAGCAACAAGGGCCATCTATCACCACTGAAAACTCAGCATAGAAGGCACCACAAGAAGTTGCAGCATCTCTGTCCCTCTCCTTCTTCTCTCTGCTGGGTGAGGAAGCTACAGAACCCTCTGACATCAGTTCCTATAGGAAACAAAGGTCTTCTGCCAGGTGCCTCCAGGGCTGTGGCTCTAGCTTCAAAAGGAGTGATAAAGAACCCTCCTAAACAGCAATTTCTCTTGGGTACAAATGGAAATTTTGCCAATTTCACGGGTCGAGGTTGGAAATTTAATTTAAGCACAAAAACAGAAGCAGGCAGCTGTCTTTCAATTCCAGGCTAGTTTTAAAAATAACAACAAATATATAATTTGTTTAGGGCTGCAGATTCTATTTGACAGAAGAAAAACCCAAACTGGTTTCTCCCAGTTTTCAACCTTTAGTCATTCACCCAAGTCCTTTAAGAAAAATCCACTGCTACTAGAAATCTGGCTGACTAAGAACTGAGACTGTCATAATTTCAAATTCAAAGTAAATTCAAAAATAGCACCTTGACAATTTGCTCACTTGGTTTGAAATCTACATATAGGTCAGAGCCTGAGATGGGGGGAATTTGTTTAGCTTCAGTGACCCATTTCCAAGAGCTAAGTGCCTGGCTTGCAGCACAGCATTAGTTACAGTAATATTAGCCCTAAAAGTGCTTCCTGATACTGCCTTTAAGGTTCACTTTCAATGGCTCAACAGGTCCTAGGCGTACACAGCCTCCACATCACGGAGGATGTGCAGACCCAGGATTAGGAATAAACCAAGGCAGGGGTGTAATTAAACACACATGCATAATTAGTTCTGCTGACTTGTCACACCATGATTTGCTTTTCCTCTTTTCCCCTCCAAAAAACCCAAAAAAACCCCAACACCCAAACAAGTTACTACCTCTCTACTGCAAGTCAGAACAATGCTTGCAGCCAAAGCAACATATCCTAAAAAGCTGGTGTCCTGCTAATTAAAAGGCTGCATAAGTTTCTCCAGACTTTCTGATTTAGTGCAAGTTCAAGAGCTTTTCAAAATAAGTGCTCATGACACAGGGCATTCTGCTTTCCTCCTCACTCACGACCCAGGCAAGGCAGGGTGTTTTATATAAGGAGACAATTCTAGTAAACCAGGGGACTGTGCACAGCGTGTGGTTCAGCCAAGCCAGCCCTGCACCCTGGAGCTTGACAAATCTGGCATGTTCAACATCAGCCTCAAGTACTCAGCTATGATGCATCCTCACATTCTTCTTCTAGGACACTTGAAAAAGCTTACCTCTTTGTCTTTGCCACCCATAGGGATGAGATTCTGAATGTCAGGACTGCAAGTGGTCCAAATTCAAAAGCTCCGATGCGGCACTTCCCAGTTTCTGCACAGCTTTACTTAAGAGCAAATCCATCCTTTGAAAAGAAAAGACATCCATCAAGCAGGTGACTAAGCCCATTAGTTTGCTGTAATGTGGATCTAAAATACAACAAATCTGGGGACAGGTTGTTTGTCTCTATCTCTTTGATCTGTGTTACTGTAGAAACACGTATACAGCACTTCAGATAGCAACAGAGACAGCAGATTGTTGCTGTTGTAGTTATTATTGCTATTTACAAAGCCATGAGCTGAGTAGGTCCAGGCAGCTCACAGGTGGCTCAAGGACAAGTGGAAAGACCACAAAGTTGCCATCATGTTCCAAAAGCAGGAACCATAAAACTCAAATGTTAAGAGATGACGGCAACAGAAATAAACCTAAGGATTCAGAACACAAAGTCCCAACTTGTTCTGAATACAAAACACAACATTTAGAGTATCTAATTTGATACCACATAGGTATCCATTCACTGTGACCCAATCTGTTCTGGCCCACACTCTTCTGCCCTGCTTCCCCAGCTCTCAAGACTTTTCCTCCTCGCAGATGGCAAAGTAAACCCAGTGACCTGGTGGAGCTGCAGACCACCATGTGTGCAATCACGTGTCTGTCAGTGGATCCATTAGCAAGCTGAAAAAACAATCCCAGCTTTCTGCACACCTTTCAGAGGCAGGCCCTGCACAGCTTCACTTGTACCCATGTAACATCGCTTCTCCACATCCTCCCCAGCCCAGTCCGAACTGGGCACACACCCCACAAGCTACACTGACTTGCCACTAGCAGAGCTCCAGGTCCATCTCATTATTACACTTTTATACTATCCCATTATTACCATTCCTGCTCCATTTGGCTTTGACATCTCCCAGATATCAACCCTGCAGTTCCCAGAGCAGTTAGATGGAGGCTGGGATTAGGAAAAGCTCTCCCTAACGTACCCTGCAAGGCCTTGCGACAGCGTCCCTACTCCAGGCAGCAGCGCCGGAGCAGACATCGCTTGTTTGCACGTCTGCATCCCACAGAAATGTGCTGCCCACTGATTTGTGGCTGGGAAAGCTGTTTCAAAGGAAAGCTTGAGCAAAGGGCTGGAAGAAACCTCCCTGGTAAGAGCCAAGCACGCAGCACTGGGGTTTAATGGTAGGCCAGGCTGGCTCTCAGGCCGCCACCGCCTGCCACACACCGGCACTGGTTTGAACCGCGCCATCACCGCCACGGTGCACGGTCACACCAGTGAGCACCCTGCCACTGCCAAGGAGACCAGGGCTGATCCAGAAAGGATCATGGAGGGGGAAGGGAAAGGAGATGCACAGACAGACATGCCAAAGAGAACAGAGGGAGCTGTGGTTAGAGGAAGAATGTGGCCCAGCTCAGCCAAGAGGACCAGTGTTAATCACAGCCAATTTCTCCAGCACAAAGCAGGCCTTGGAGACATTGCAGTTCCCTCTATCTTTTATGCCATGGCAGTTTGATGTGAGGGAGCCATTATGTCTGACACATGAGAGAATATGTGGGAAAAAAACCAAACCACACCACACATACATACCCCAAACCAAAATTGCATTTCCCTATACAACCAGCATCCAAGGATGCAATATTTAACAAAATAAGCTGAGGCAGCACCCACATGTGGCAGCTCCTATTTCGCACAGCAGAGACAGTGCAGGAAGATCCTGCATGCAGGCTCTGGGAATCAACAGTTGGACACCTTGCAAGAACACTTGTCTTATCAAACACTTCCTGACATTTGGGTATGGAGAACATACTTCAAAACCCACAAATAACTTTGCATGGATCTGATATTAATATTTGGTACTTCTTAACATATTTTTCTATGACACATGTTTTCTGAATTAATATGGCACTTTGCTGATAGGGACTGAAAGGTTTTTACTCCAAGAAAACCCACAAGACTGTGTGATCAGTGCCAAATATTCTTCAAGGGAGGGAAGTCTGCAAGCACTTTGGTTTCTCCATGACACATGTTAATAAAAATCCAACAAGGTGGCAGTTTAAAGGAAAAAACAATTGTCTTTACTGAGCTAATTGAAGGAGTTAGAAGAAAGACATCCATTTTTAGGGTCCCCTTTTCAAGCCTTGGAAATACTATGCACTTTCAGAAACTTATTCAAATAAAAGAGCCTACTCCTCATCTAAATAGCCCAATGTGAAACTGTAATCCTGCCATTTCAGAACAGAGAAGTCTCATCACTTCCCTGATCTCAGAGGCTGCTCTGCAGTAGTCACAAGCAACTACAGCTTATTCCACAGCAAGTAAAACTACCAAAACTACCATCTGACTTCTGCCAAAGACATCTTCTACTGAAGACTGAATTATTTCTGCCTTCTCCTGTAACTGGGGAAACAAGAAGAAAAAAAAACAGAAAAAGGAAATCAAGAGGAGTTACTACTAAGTTCCAAAGCTGCAGCTGAGCCTATCCTGCTATGGCTTAAGCAGAGAGTTGTTGCTTGCCTCTGGCCAACAGCATTTTTGGTAAGTGAGGGAAGCCCAGTGGCGTTGCTCCTGACCTTTGCAGTTTCACAGCGAGCAGCCATTCCTGTGAATGTCAGTGCTGCACGGCTACACAAAACCTCAGCCCTGTGCTTGGCCAGTGAACACAGAATCTGGGCTGCTGCCTTGCCATCCCTCCCTCCCCACCACATACCAGCTCAGGAAGCTGCCCTCTGGAAAGGTGGCTGGAGCTCTCCCCACCTTGGGGGCAGAAACAAGGAGACAGGGAGAGGACACAAGGAGGAAGAAGAAAGAAGCCAAGCTAACAGCAGTCCCTCGTGTCTCCCTACTTGAAACGCTCCATCCCATCTCCCTGCTGAGAGGGGGATCAGTGGGAAGGGGGTACGCCCAGGGCTGCCTCCAACCCATCATGGCTCCTCAGCACTACCAGCTTCCCCCACGCCCAGAGCAGCAGCACAGGTACATTTCCTCTGCCTCTCTCTACTAAACTGACTTTGTTCCAGAGCCCTGTTTGAGGAAATGAGTAAATCCTGAGACACAAAAGCCATCAGTGGTCCGGCTTTTTATCAAAATCATCACACTGAGCCGGAAAGGAATTCAAAGAAGCAGCTAACCCTGAGGAATTAGCAGTGTCTGCAGCTAAAGCTGGTTCAGAATCCTTACCAGAACTATGCTGCTAGACGAGTCCCAGATGATTAAACAACAGGACCACAGGGGGACAAGGCAAACACCCTGCCTTGGGTCTTCAGGAGGACCAGCTTCAAAAGACGTGAGGGGCCATTATGCAGCACCAGTTACTGTGCCTCCAGAGCAAAGGGCAAGGGTCAGAAAGCACAGACACACCACAACACTAAGTTTTATAGTGGGGGATTTCCAACACACAAAATAAAGAAACTAGTCCTGAGAGTCAAAAGTAAAAAGAATTTTAAAAAAATTAAGTCATGAAAGGTTATTTAGGAAATCCTAAGTGACAGAGCGTGCAGACCTCCGACAAATGATGGCAGAGATGCTGCCTGGCTAAGAGGACAGGCTTGGGGGACAATATGGGTCACACTGCAGGTATCACTGTAGGTGCAACAGCTGGCAAGAGCTTCTGCTGTGGATCAGAGACATCAAACACACACACACTACAAAACCACAGTCCCTATTCAAATCTCTCTACAACCTCAATAATCCTTTAGAAGATGAAAAAATAATCCTAGAGGAGCCAATATAAAGGAATATAAATTATTGACAGTAGGGAACAAATTTATATGAGGATGGCTGTTATGAAACTGGGACAGTAGGTGGCCAAGACAAACGAAACAAAACCCAGAAAACATATGGCATTTTCAGTTTATCAAAACCAGAAAACCTCAGGGGGAATAATTTAGTTGAGTGGGATACCAGCTAGTGGGGACAGGGACACTGCAGAAAAGTTACACAAGCAAGCAGGTATTATTTTTTCTTGCCCAGGATGTTGAGATTTCCCAGTATTTAATGCTGATTAACCTGAAAGGAAAAAAGAGGGGGCTCTATCAGAAGAGATAGGGAAAAGTGACATTAAAGCAGAAAGCCAGCTGGGCACGGTGGACTATACCTGGAGATTTGGAATTGGAAATGGATGGTTGAGATACAAAGAGACCATCTCTCAAACAAGTGTTCTCTCAAGCAAATCAGCTGCACTAGCAATTGCCAGAGGGCTGCAAGTATTGGAAGGAACTTTTTTCAACGTGTGCTCTTAAAGCAGGAGCAGCACAAAGCTACCTGGTGTGGGGGGAGAGCCAACCCCCAGGCAGAGTTCCCCATCACACAGATGGCACCTCAAGGAACAACAGATGACAGGACACACTTTGTGCTTCCTCAAAGCAAGTCAAAAAGCAAGACATGGAACACAAGCTAAAGAGCCAGCAGCATCCAGGACCTGTAAAGCAGATGGGCAGAGGACATGGGGCAGTCATGCCACAGGGTGAATGGGAGGTAGAAGAGGGGTGGCCGAAGGAAACCAAGGCACTTCAGCCCCTGCACATCTGGTCACCTCTCTGCCCCCCTCCCAGCCACTGCATCTTCCCCCTGGTTTGACTCAGCCCACTTTGCAGAGCAGCCCACCTCACTCCTCAACAGGCTGGTGGGTACAAGCAGCCCAAAGGCTCCTCCATCTTTTATGCAAGCAGCTCCCTCCCCCGTGACTGTGCAAACTCACAGGCTGACCCAGGTCTCTTCCTAGAATTGTCTCTCCATCTTCAAGCTGTCATTCCCCACAACACCCCCAAGGCTAATCTTGCTCCCCAGCAGGCAGCTCACAGCCTCGTGTTACTTAAATCCAACTCAAAATGTAGTGAGCCCTCTCCATCGCCTTCCCAGGGTAAACACTGTGACAAAATCACTTCACTCCCTCCAGGACAGAGAAGTCAGAGGTCATTAAAAATTCGTCAGCAGGAAAGCAGCAGGAGGTCAGGCAGGACTCTGTCCTGACACATACAAATGCACGCAGGCTTGTAGAAAAACCAGCTGGGTCTATATTTTCAAGAGCAATAAATTAAGTGGTGCAGCTGACCAATGAGCCAAGTAACAGTGCTGAGGGCTCATTAAGGAAAGCTCCAGCTCCGAATGCAAAAGCAGTCATTTAAAAACCAAGAGGCAAGTGGGACTGGGAGGGTGCAAAATGGATGGGAATGTAACAGTAATGTCACCACCTGAGAGAATACAGTCAGTTCTAGTTACCGGAAATAAAAACATACAGAGCTGAAACAAAGAGGGTAGGCCTAAAGATGGGTAATAACAAGCAACACATAATTGTACAGAGAGAGACTGGAGAAATTTCTTGCTCAGTTTAGAGAGCAGATACATATATACAAGAGGATGCTAGAGAAAGATACAGTCCAATCAGGACATTCTTTTTGTATTCTTTCAGAAAACCAGATGAGAGGAAGTTCAAAGGTGACCAAGACTGAAAAGTAACTAATTTGAAAACTCATAAAAGGAAAAACTCCAATCATGTAGACTGGGGAAAGTGAGAAAGCTGATCTGAGAAGTCTCATTTCTCTTCCCTCTCAAATGTCTTTGCTTTGTTTCTATGCTGTACCCACCACATCATGCTTTAGCAGACCTTAGGCAGAGGAATGCAGCAACAAAGGGCTGGGGTTTTGAGCAACACCTTTTTAAGACATCTCTTAACCATTCAAACCTGACATAACAGTAAGAGGAGCCCAGCACAAGCCATAAATGTCCTTTGTGCAAAACTGAAGTAGTAAACAAGGGCATATGAAGTCAATATGAGGAATCAACGATGGACCTGCTGCAGAGTTAAAATAGCTCTGTCCATGTTTTCCTCTTTCTTTGATGACTAAAAAGAACAGCACCTCTTCTTTGGATCTGCTGACGTGAAAATCAGCATGCACCCTACACAAACAGCAGATTTCAGTCTTTACTGCTAAAGCAGTAAATGTTGCTCCAACTTCTCTCCTTCCACACCACAAAATCTCACCAGAATACAAGGTAGAACTAAAATAGGGATAAAGAACAGCACTGGTGATCTGTCAAAAAGCACAAACAATCCATTCCTGCACAATCAAACCTGTGCTATCACCACTAGTGTGCCAACCGAGGCAAACTTATGCTGAATCCCCTCAGCTTCAGCAAGGGGCCTTCAGCAGGACGTGCAGAAGCCCAGCTACACAGTATAGATTGCAGATCTCTGGCATTTTCCAACAGCTAACAGCCACACTCATTTTCTTAGCTTTAGCCTAAGTTTTCAAATAAACTTTGCTACTGAGGAAGTACAAAAGTAGATCCAAGCTGTTTCTGAACTGCAGAGTCACATACATGCAAAAACTCCCTCGTTGCACAAGTCACAGTCTGAAGGCAAAATTTTTTTCAGCATTTGCAGGGAGTGAGGGGAAGGACAAAAACCCTCTGCAACAAAGGCAACCGAATGCAGCCAGCTTGTCCCAATTTTGCCAGCCCCTGCTCCAGTACAAAGCTAAAGGAGCCCATCTGCAAACTTAACAGTGGCGCCGTTTGGTTCTTCCCCTCAACTCTGCATGTGTTTGCGAACAAGCAGAATCACACAAAGTGCAGGAGGAGCAGGAAGGGAGAAGGCAGAGAGAATGTGCATTATCAAAATACCTTGAGAGCAGTTCTTGGAAATGTGCAGCCTGCGAGCCTGTATCAGACACTCATTTCCTGTGAAGTGCACACAGGCCTTTTCATTTCTCCACTGAAGAGGATGAAAATAAGGGGCAGCTCTGAAGTCTCCAAAGACAACACAAACCAGCATTTAGCCATTCTACTAAAACTGAATTTACATTTTTACACTATTAAATACCTATTGAACAGAAGCATTGAGTTCCAGAAGTTTAAAAGTAGGATTTTCTACACTTCTGACTTCTAAATCTTAACTTGAAACCTGTCACTTGGTATGGGGAGAGGGGGAAGAATTCTACACAATGTCACCAAATCCTACTACATCAAACAGCACTGCACCTTTTTTTAAAAAGTTGAGACTGATTTCAGCAAAACGGTGAGCTAATAAATACCTTACTGAGGGAGAAGGATGCAGGATATGCACAAATGCAAACCAGAAGAGTAGGCTGTAATGAAGTAGACTGACAAGATAAAGGGGATAAGTTGCTATCATACCTGCCTCTGCCTCTACTTACACGCAATCAAGGATATAATTAATGTAGCATTTAGTTGCATTATTTTAAATAAATATGCCTCCTAATGACATATAGGTTTAACACCTTTACCCTCTAAAATATATGGTTCCTGTATGGCTTATTCAGCTCTCACACCATCCATATCTTAAGTCACAGAGATGCATGTGCCCTCCTCTCCCATCGTGTGAGCTTTTGGCAAGCAGCACTAGCTGAGGTCTGCAGCGGCCTGGAATAACAGCTCAGGAACACACCAGCTCCCCACAGCTTTTATTAATCTAACCACAGTATCAACCCGAACCAAATGATGTCAGATTTAAGTATTGGCACTATCTCTTTATTGCTGACCAAACCAAGGCTGGAGAAATCAGGACAGAGAAGCCTGTGGGTGGCAAGGGGAGAGCGGGTGGCAAGGAGCTGCAGGGAAAAACTAGGAGAAAAGAGCAAAACATTCCCAGTGGGGACAGAGAAAAAGAGAAACAAGGGAAAAAACACAGCTCTAAAGGCACATTTTCTCCTTTGTTTCTCAGCAATGCAACCACAGTATTAGTGGCAGCAATTAAGAATTTACACCACCCAGCCCCAGCTCTATCCTTGCATAAACCGACCACCAACTTCACAGAAATCCCAGCTGGACTGAGGAGGGCAAGAGGCACTGGCTGCATGTTTGACGCTGTCATCTGGAAACTGAATTTGGCCCTCTCTGAGCAGACACAGTGGGGACAGAGACACACACCTGGAAGGATCTGAAGAAGCTCAGCCTCTCCCTAGTGCTCCTCTATGCCCATTTTTGGGGACCCAAGCACCTGTGCCTTCCAACACAACCTTACAGAAAACCCCTGTGTTGCCACTCAACCCCCTTTTAAGTAAGTGATAAGCCAGGTTATTAAAGGACATGCAACATACAGAATATTAACAAGGAGCACAGAAATAACAAAGGCCCAAATTCCAGTTTAACTCAGGAAAAGATGGGAACTTGTGTGGGAGGTTGGCATCCCAGTAATCCTGCGGGTTTGTGCCCAAGAGCCGTCCCCTCTGAAGGGAACAAGAATCCATACTTCAACAACTATGTTTTAAATCACATACCCGGCAGAATCACTCATGAACACAGAAACAAAGCTTGGCTTCATCTGCAGCGACTGGCCACACTTTATCGTAACTTGATTCAACTAAAAGCAACATTATATGTGATAATACAGCCTCAGTCTCACAAACTTCTGTGCATGTGCATGATTTTAAAGCACATGACCACTGCCTGCTGTGGCTGAATGGGCCATTTGACATTCACACAGCATCTGAATTGCAGTTGCAGTTGTTTGGAGAAAGAAGATACGCTTGCATACCTTCCTAAGGACACAGTCAGTAGAGAATGAAACATCAGGAAACTAGTTATTTCCGATTCCACCCCATTTTACAGAGTTGAGTATGGTCAACATGTGACTGGGTTTTTCATTTAAATTCTCTGAGAGCTGCAAGGACTAGAACTAGTAAATGGCACTGTCTGGACCACATAGTCCCAAATAGCAGCCTGCTAACAATACTCTTTACCCTCAACTTTCCAGAACAATGGTCAAGCCACATCCCCCATTCTTCACCATGTAGGAGAAGAAAAAAGCCAAGGACATTAACTTAGCATTCTTGAGTTCTTCTCAGCTACCTCTGGGATTCTTCCAGATCCTGTTTCCCAGCCTGTTTTAGCAAGAAGTAATACACACTTTAACTAAATTAAAAAAAAAAAAAAGAAACCTAAGAGTAGCATGAGCTGAGGTTTTACACGGTAACCATTCCAAAATTCTCAGTGACAACGCGTGTGTTTGTGGGAAAAAGTGAGTAGTGGATCCTGCATGGCTGTGAGCACCATGACTCAGATTGCATAAAGAAGGAGGATTTAGCGATAACCTTTGCGATGAGGCTTGTCATGGGCGCGCAGCACTGATCTTCTGAGAAACGGCAGGTGTGAGGCTGCGATCTGACTGTGCCAGGTCTGGAGGACGGCGAGTTCCTCCGCCCTTCAAGGCAACCCCAAGCGGGCACGTACACCCCCGGTTCACAGTTATCCCTCTTCCCTGTAACGCCCTCACTTCTGGCAGGCAGCTCCCTTTTCCAGCTAAGACTAAGTGTAACTCTGAGCATCGCTTCTCCAGTGCTTTATGTGAAAGAAGTGCTGTGAAGACCAAGTTACCCAGACCTGTGCGGCTGCTTCCCTACAGACCCATCTAAGACATTACATAATTTGCAGGTTTCACTTTAAAAGAAACATCTCCCTGTCCTGACGCCGTGAAGAACACCTTGACAGCAGCACAGTCCCCGTGGAGCCACCCAGGCTACTCCCAGCACCCCGCCGCCACCCCAATACAGCACATGGCTCCCTTCAAGACCGGCAGTGAGATGCCGGCACCCCAAATCTCCCTCGACTCCTCGGGAAAAGCCCCCCAAGCCCCAACACGCTTCTTCTTCCCAGCCAAGAGCGGCCGCAACACCCCCAGGAGCCAAATCAGCGGGGGCTGCACCCCCTCGCAAGCCGAGGGGAGATCGGAGCAGACAGGCAGACGGACAGACACGCAGACTCCTCGCAGCCCGCCCCCCAAAAAGGCCGTTTCCAGTTAACGCAGCACAACTCACTCTCGGCACCTCCGGGGCC